GTTTTTGCTGTTGTCACTGCAGTAACATTGGTGGTGCAACAATCAACGACGTAGCGCTGGACTTCTGGCACTCTGGCCAGAATCGAGAGGACATCGGTATGGAAGACCTGGAGCATCGGCTGCGAGCTGAGACTATGGAGTCTCAAGGTGAGCGGTAAAGTTTTTGTAAAGGTTGCCTGGTGGGTTTTCATAAGCTTTGAGCCTTTTTTTAAGCCATTAAGTTACTCAGGTGTTCTGGTTGCTCATTGGCTTGAAATTATTTGCTGAAAGCCGCTAAAGTGACATAAAAACAGCTTAGAGCAGCACAGTGTTACCCATGGGTTAGTGAGGCCCTATTGTGAAGCCTCATCTTTGAATCTGGTACTCATGAGTGAGGGGTGGATTTTGTACACTTACTGGTTAACAACTTCATTACTCACGTGGTTAATCACATGGTAAAACATACCATGTTTTATCCTTGTTTGTGGTTACAAAATTAGCAGGAAAGTGATCACCGAGGTCACAGACCACCTCAGGAATCGCCCCCCTGCTGACCAAAGAATCAGTACACTGGCCATGCCATCTTTTATATACAGCGTATGATAAAAAAGAACCAAAACACATTGTTAAAACTTTAAATATGTTTCTATTTCCTGTTTTGTTTTAATATCCCAGGTGGCTTTGCTCAGAGTGAGCTGATGTCTGGTCACCTGATTGACTTCTTTGTGCCCTTTCTGCCCCTGGAGTACCGTCACATTAAGCTCTGTGCACGGGACGCCTACGCAGCACGAGGTCTGGAAACCGATGAAGCCACGCTGGATGAGGTGGCCAAGGCAATGCTGTATGTTCCCAAAGAGGAGAGACTGTTCTCAGCCCAAGGATGCAAGTCCATACCTCAGAGGATCAACTTCTTTCTTCCCTAGAGCGAGGAGGAAACAGAGAGACGGACCTGGAGGTGTAAGATTGCTTTACCGGCCCATCTGCATACAGAGCCACAGAGATGTGTCGTCTTTGCTCTGCACTGCACACTTCCCCCTCCCCCCACAGATGCAACATGTGTCTGTCCAGGTCCCGTCACAGAAGGCCAGACATCAGGGCAGATCCAGGATTAGAGGGCAGAGCAGCGTGACCCAGCCTGCAGAGATGGGCGGCGTCACAGGAAGCGTGGCTGCTCTTCTTCACCTGCCCGGTTTGAATCCTGTCAAGACGAAGGGGTGAAGAAGATGGTGTCTGTGCAGAGTGTGGCGCAGAGGGAGACATTTATTTTCCTTTTCACTATTTATATCTAATCCCCTCGGCCAAAGTCTGACTCGCACTGTTGTTTGTGTTCATATGAGTTTGTAATTCATGTGTTACTAGTGGCATGTCAAACATTGTGCTTATATCAGCACAGATTATTTATTTATATCATTTGTGCCATATTTGAACATTTTACTGCACCTGATTAGTTTTGTGGAGTACTCTAAATGTGCACTTATTTTATTTTGTTAGATTTTTTTATTCCTTTTAAAATGAACGTACGAGGACCAGTGGTGATGGGAATGTTACTTGAAGCTCTTACTGTGTGCTTTAGAGACACAGTCCTTGTGTCTCTAAAGCATCGGACCTGTGGAAACTCACCCTTTTACATACTTGTGTTTTCTAAAAACATTTGATAGGTTTTACTGTACTGTTACTTAATATACAGTTGTTACTCAGTGGTGTGCTTTACTCTTTTGTTGGTATAATTCATCGATCATCAACACAGTCTGCTTCAAAGCTGAGGGTCACATCACAATAAGAACACAGAGAGAACCTGTCAGACACGGTTTAAAGAAATAAAAACCTGGTAAACAACAATCATCATCGATTTCAGTGATTTGACTCCACATTAATGTTCGAATTTGAATATGGCAGGCAGGGCAGCGCCTGGGACCCAGTCGAGAAAACTACCTTAGAGGGCCCTCCTCTATGTTACACTGGGTACTTATATTGACAGGATTACAGTAAAGTGGACTAGAGTAAAGCCTGTATTTTTATGCTTTATACATTTTTATTACATTTTCAGTTGTGCAAATATTGACCCAGTAATTTTACACTCTACAATGTTTTGATAGATGCTGGGAACCAAATTACTTGTTCTTGCTCCCTATGAACCTGTTGACTTTGCTGAATGCAAGGCCCGAGAGATGAAGTTTGTTTAAAGGTTTGAAACAATGGTACCAGTCATATGTTCAAAATAAGCACTCGTCAGTATGTGAGTGTGTGATATATGTAGAAAACTAGTAGAAAACAAATTGTTGAATGAGAAATTCTATAAATCAGTGTGCTTGTTATAAGCTTGCCCATCGAGTAAGCCTGTGAGGACCTGTGGCTTTTTGTAGCTTGCACATATTACAGGTGTCTTTATGTTACATTAGCAAGGCTGAATCTATTTTGGGCTTGTGTGTGTGTTTGTAGGCTTTAGGTAAATTTGTCCGCCGAGCCAACCCCTGACTGCGGTTGTTATCCATGGTGCTGGTTACAAGCTGGACTGATGCCATTGATATGTCTTATTATTGCTATATGCTATGCTGTGTTTGTTCTGATACAATGTGGAGGTAAGAATCCCCCCCCAAAAAAGATCTGCCCTGGGACCTATTACAGAGTTGTTACGCCTGTGATGTATATTTCTATGGATTCTCCTGTGTTTAGTTTAGTTTACATAAGGCAAGAAAATCACGCCTGAGATTATATAGATCTGCTGCACGAGATCAGGCGTGAAAACATTTGCTGAGAATGTGAAAAATTATTTATTTTTATAGAAGATTATTTTTTTCCTACCGATTTGAATTATTTCATTAATTTTTTTTATTTGCTGTAAGTATGTATATGTAGTTCACGTTGTTTCGCTTTAATTATATTCGTGTTGTTACTGATATTGCATTTTCCCCTTGCATGTGATTCACCCACGGCGCATCATCCTTCCTTTGGGCGTGTATCAGGCAAACGCGTGGTCTGCTCCCATTGGCTGCAGAAAGTATTCGTCCGGATTCTCTGTCCTCTGATTGGCTTTAAGCGGTAGCGCTTCCTTATTGAGGTTAGCAACCGTCGTCCAATCAGATTCAGACATCTGTTCCGAGGCGAGAGGAGAGAAGCGGCAGCGTCTCGGTGGCTCTCACTGTAACATCACTGTATGGGGATACCGCACTGACAGACAACGCCGCTTCACCTTATTTAGAGAAAATCTTTCTACGCGGGCATTTTTATTTGTAATTGGTTAGTTTTCGACCGGCTGCTTCAGCTCGTCGCCATGACAGCGCTGTGCCTGCTTTTGATGGCCGTGTCGGCTGCATCTGCGCTGGCCGAGTCCACAGTTTATTTCCGCGAGCAATTTGAAGACGGCGGTGAGCGCTTTCACACAACATTACACAGATAGGATTGAAGTGCTTGCTTTTCTTTGTTGCTGCTGTACATCCTTGAGATGCTGTGATGCTGACTGAGATGAATGATGGCTATTTTTCATGTCCGCATATCGGCGCGGATTGTTACGGTTATTTCTCACGATTTTACCGCAATTTGTGGATTACATCGTCAGCTGATTGGTCTAGAAGACCAACCGATCACTCATCCATTCATTGATTTATTCATATTCCCTGCTTTATGTTTCCCATCCCTCTAAGCTATTATCACACCCCGTCTGCCTCCCCCCTCCCCCCACTGCTGCACATCTCTCCCCTGGTCATTCACTGCTACCCTCCTTCTCCCAGCTGTCCTGTTCTTTCATCTGTGAAGGCGGTCACAAAATCCCGCAGTATGCCCCCCACCCACACACACGCACACACACACACTCTATCGAAGGCTGGATTAACAGAGAGTTTTGTGAGTCTTGTCTTGGTGATTGCTGGGCAGCTGACTCTGAACCTGTTTGTGCAGATGCCTGGATGGGTCGGTGGGTGGAATCCAAGCACAAGTCCGATTATGGGAAGTTTGTCCTGACTGCCGGGAAATTCTACGGTGATGAAGAGAAAGACAAAGGTAAGCAGGAAGGCGCTGATATGTGTTGCGTAATTACACTATACTACCCTGTCAGACACCTGCTGTCAGAGGCGCGTGTTTGCTTCCTCGTGGAGCTCTGCCAGTATCAACACGGCTGTCTTCCTCTCTGTTCTTCGACTTGAGAACAGAGCAAAAGCATCGAATTAACCCGTACTGTTACTCGCTGGTTTAGCTTGATCTTCCCTGCAGTGACACCATTGTTTCTGCAGGTCTGCAGACGAGCCAGGATGCCCGTTTTTATGCACTGTCAGCCCGTTTCGATGACTTCAGCAACAAGGGCCAGCCTTTAGTCATACAGTTCTCCGTGAAACACGAGCAGAGCATCGACTGTGGCGGAGGCTACATTAAACTGTTTCCCTCCGAGCTCAACCAGGAGGACATGCATGGAGACTCTGTCTACAACATCATGTTTGGTAAGTGGACCAAAGGATGGTGTGTTAAATGTTATTGCTTTTGTCGGGCAGTGTTTGTTATACGCAGACATTCACTGTCACTTTGTATTTGTGGGCTCGTTCAGGTCCTGATATTTGCGGCCCCGGCACAAAGAAAGTTCACGTGATCTTCAACTACAAAGGCAAGAACCACCTGATCAACAAGGACATCCGGTGCAAGGTGACGCATGGGGAAGCTAGTTCTAATAAAAAGCACCACAATATAAGGACACATGAGCTTAAACAATTAAAAATAAACTACATGGTGATATGCTGTTAGTTGCATGTATTGACGGCACCTTTTTCAAACCTTTTTTTTCTGCCCTGCAGGATGATGAGTACACCCACTTGTACACACTGGTCGTCAACCCTGACAACACTTATGAGGTTAAGATAGACAATAAGAAGGTGGAATCTGGCAATCTGGAGGATGACTGGGACTTCCTGCCTCCCAAAAAAATCAAGGATCCCGAGGCCAAAAAGCCAGAGGACTGGGATGACAGGGAGAAGATTCCTGACCCTGACGATAAGAAACCTGAGGTCAGTGTGACCTGGCATTCTTTCAGGGCATCACTTTAATGATTGTACTTGTCTCACGTGTGCAACACTGTTTTAATTTTTAAAACGTTTCGATAGGTTGATCATGTTTCAAATGTTTTGTTTTTGTTTTCATTGCAGGACTGGGACAAACCAGAGAACATCCCAGATCCTGATGCCAAGAAGCCCGATGACTGGGATGATGAGATGGATGGCGAGTGGGAGCCACCGATGGTCACGAACCCTGAATACAAGGTGCATATCCAGTGATTCTAACTCTTCATG